GGGCTCCGCTCCAGCGCGGGCGGCGGCCGGTGCACGACCTGGCGCCTCTTCCCCGCGTCCCTGTTCCTCCGCGGGGAGAGTCATTGCACGCTGCCTCCCACAGCCAGCTAAAAACTGCTGTTAGCTTGTACTGTTCCCTTCAAACGTGCCTCGTTAAAAGAGCTTAACCGTGTGTTACTACACATCGGGGAGGAAGTGCAGTCATTTTATGTGTTTTACTCACTAAAACAAGGGCTGCTTTTTCGTTTAACCCTTCATCAGTAAGTCCTGCCTGTGCCTTCTCCTCTTCATAGAATAACAGAGCAGTCCCTGACTTCTTGGTTTTCTTCGCTAAGGAAGAGGCATGCACTGCTTGTTCCTGTGGTATTTAGTTTCAAAGGCTTGGCTGTGCATGTTTGGAGACAAAAGTTGCAGCCCTCTGCTATAAACCTGTGTCTTTTCTGCACAGACCACCTAGAACTATAGACCATATTAAAAAATAGGATGAGAGAAAATCACTCTCAAGTGGTATTCCTCAGGTTTCTTAGAGGAACAAGGAAAACACTGTGACTGCCCCACACCGATCCCTAAGGCTGTGTGCTGATTTATTTAAGCTGGCGTTGCTCAGTTGTTTTGTATAATAGGTCTTTTACAGGTGGTGAGAAAGACCCTTTGAAGTGAGACAGTTCTTCCCATTGCTTACCTAGTTTTAACACATGTATGACGTTTATTATTGCTGTGGTTAGTGGAAGGGGAAAAAATGCCTTGACAGGAGTTGGTAGGTTTGGATGAAGCACTTCATCTTATAGACGGCTTACAAAAAGTGACTTAAGTGTTTTTACAATCCCTGTTGTTGGCTTTGTGTATTTGATGCTGTCTGATCATCAGATTTCTGCTGTGAGTGCCTCCTCCCGTACACGGTGTAAGAGGAAGAGCACACAGCTGCAGACTGAGGACTTCACACGGGGGCTGGGCTCCTAAAGGCTCGATGTGGGGATGGTGGATATCAGTGTGCCTGTGATTTTGAGCATCTGGCCAAAAATGTTACACCAGTCAGAGAGCCAAGATAAACACATCTTGCAGATATTAAAGTAGCTAGTTAAGTAAAGTAGCTGGTATTTCTGGAAAGCCAAATGCCTTTATTTCTAAAACAGTAGATTAGAAGGTTAAGAACATTCATACATATAAACCATTTTAGGAAAATGAGCCAAAAAGTTACTAAGATCAAAATGAAACAGGAAGGAAAGTAAGAACCTGTGTTTCAGAGAATTAGTGGCAGAGAACGGGACATTTTAAAACTGTTTACCACCAGAGAGGAGAAAGAATGAAATTCTTTGCTGCATCTTCCTCTGTTGGATTGTAATTACAATTTATTTATTTTTATTTATTCTTATTCTCATACTCCTTTATTCTTTCCTCAGTTTCATTCATTCCTTTATTCTTATTCTGTTTTCTTTAAAAGTAGGAGATGTTATTTTAATTCTGAGGAGGATATCATTAGCAGATTTAAAATAAAAAGTATTTTAGTGCTTAGTTCTTAGAATTATTCCTTCCAACAGCAGTAAAATTACTGAAATACTAGACTTTACAGTTCCAGTCCTAGTCAATACAGGCAGCTCCACATAACTTTTGGGTTATTTTCCAATTTTTTGCCATTGTCATGTTGCTAAAACTGAAGATTCAGAGACATATACACAGCCTGCAGAGCAAAACAATCCATTCAGAGGTATCTCTTTTCTGCCAGCATGAACATAAACTTTAAAATAGAGGAAAAGGGATGGGTGCACTTACAGGTAAATGGAATGTGTATTTATGTATTTATTCCCCTGTAACAGCACATAAGTCAATGAGAAGCTATGTAAAATAACACAACTTGGAGGATGCTCTATGTTATTCTAAATAATGATAAAAGGCAACAGAGGAGAACACCAATTATTTAAAAAACAGTTTTTCAACAGGTAGTGAAACATGCCAGCCCTGGTACAGTATTGTGTGCTAGAAAAGAACCAGTCTGAGACCTCCCTTGCCTTATAGTGTGAGAAGCATTGCTCTGAACACTGAACCTCTCCATCTGTTTTTGGCAGAGTGAAGATGAGCAGTGAAGATATTCTTGTGTGTGCAGTAAAATTTGGAGAAAATTTCTGCCTCTATTTTGAAGGTAATTACTGTGCCCTGCTGAAAGACACACACAAAAGCTGATACACAATCCTTTTCTGGGGCTGGTGTCCCTGGTTTTGTGAAATCCTGCTTTTCCCCCCACGTTACCTGAGCTATCCTCAAAGCAGCTGCAATCCCCACCCACTGAGAAGAACGACAGTTGTTAGATTATGGAGCCAGGCCATTCACTGCAAAGAGAATATGAGTTTCAGACAGCTCTCCCAGTGTGCTAACAGGTCAGTCCTGTACTGCTGAGCACCCTAAGCATTTCAAAACTTTTCCTGTTTGAATACTGATTAAAACCAACTCCTTTATCAGTCTGATTTCACCTAATTTCCCCATATGCTTCAGTTTGAAGTACTGTTAGCCAAGTATTTGAGCCAGTGGAATACTTGTTGCTTCACACAATACATTCCTGTAAAGGACATGCAGAATGTTTGGAATACTGTGGGGTGGACTTGGAATAAGTGGTTAACTTCTAATCTTATAGGATAAAGTTAGTTAGAAAACAATCTCTTCTTTAGAAGCAACTTGCAATGGCCATTTCTTGTCATTTTGCTCTCTTAGCATAAAAGCAGTGATAAAACCAATAATTTGCATGCTGTTTAATCCTTGGTTATAGGCTTAAACTGACCTGGGCTGCTCGCCCTTAAGTAACCCTAAAACATTTTACACACCTCTTGGTTTGGTGGTAACTCAAGTTCTCAAATGACTGGTGGTTCAATCATTCTGTGACACTCACAAATAAAACACACCCTGTGCTTAGAACAGCTCAGCCTGAAGAGCTGGTGACACTGGGGAGTACAGCTGGAAGTGTGTAGGTGGCTGGCTGCCTTCCAATCTCACAGAACAAAACTGGGTAGAAAGTGGTTTCTTTTGTCAGGGTAGAGCTAAATGTTCTTAATGTTTTTTCTTTCCTTTTTTTCCACTGCTCACTTGGAACCAAGATGATGATGGTAAGCTGAAAGCTTATGATTTATTAACTTCATTATCAATTTTACCTGAACTAAGCTGCTCATGCTTACTAACCCATAAATGCTTTGTGTGCATTTCAAACTGGTAACAGCTACTGTAGAGAAGAGAGCTACAGCTCACCCACCCCCTCCTCCTGAGGCTGATGTTGCTTTATTCCCTCCTAGGTACAGGGTAGTGGCTTCCCTAACAGAAACACCTTTTAATGCAATTCTAATTGCTGGTCCAAAGAGAGAACTCTTGTTTCTGCACTCACATTAACAGGTGCAGCAGCTTCTCTATAAGTGCTGTATTCTGGGAGATCCTTCTGTCTTGCTTGGGTTGTTACAAGCCAGAGGCAGAAAGAACGACACAGCCCATGTTTTGTGTGAGATGGCCATTCTAAGAACTTATTTCACCTCGTATCTTTAGTGACAAACATTAAACCTGTGGCAAACTGTTAAGATCTGAGATGACAGCTGCAGTATTTGCCCCTCTCTGTTTGATGTTCTGCAGGGCTGGAATGTGATGCCTTTTGTAGGGAGAAAATTCTTCAGCGGTTCCTGCGCAATGTGAACAGCCAGCTGCTCGTCGTTCGACCAGACTTAAACGTGGCAGCTTTTGAAGATGTGACAGACCAGGAGATGAAATGTGGTATGCCATTTTAGCAGACAATGCAATTGAGCACTAAAAAACTCTTTACTTTCTTCTAACAACAGTAGCCAACAATGTACTTACGGTTTTGGCTTTTGCAAGTGGTTGCAGCACTCTCCTGAGCAGACTACTACTAATAAATAATTTATATTTAGGCAATGGAATGAACTTCAGCATTCACTATTACAAAACTACTACACCTGCAGCAGGCATGCCCGTTGCCTTCAGCGTCAAGGTGGCAGATAAAAGTTACTACATGTGTTGTGAGAAAGAATGTGGAAAAATGATCGTTCGATTTCGGGTAAGGATCTGCCTTCCACACCTTATATACATAGAAATAGGCAAAATTGAGAAATCAAATGTGGGAGCTGAAATAAAACTGCTCAAGTCTTGTGCTGGTACTAACCTGTTCCCTTTCATCTCCTCAGGAAGGAGAAGTTCCCAAAGAAATGCCTGGTGAAAGTAACGTCATCTTTTTCAAAAAGTTGTTTACATCTTGTAGCTCCAGAGCATTTAAGTTTGAATACTCACTAGAACAAGGAATGTTCTTGGCCTTTGAGGAAGAAGGCAGCTTAAGAAAATTAATTCTAAAGAAACTGTCAAGAGAAGATGAAGTGGATGAAACCATGAAGATATGTTTCTCACTTCAGCCAGAATGAAAGTCACAACCTATGACATACTTGGACAGTCTTAAAATATATTTTGGCTTTTTATAAAAGAAATCTTACTCTTTCTTTACCTAAGGCAAGGCAGTTTTATGTTTTTAGCTACCATAAGTCAGCACAAAAATTAGTATCTTACAAAGGAAAATAAATTCAAATTATTGGCAAAAAGAAGCAGAAGAATACTTTCCAGTCAGCTAGAAGGAAAGTGAATTACACAGTGAGGGAAGAAGAGTGTGCATGCCTATATAGTCCTGTAGTTTGATCCCTAAAGTTTTTATTGCTGGTTGATCAAACAGCTTTTGTATTTGGTGCCTCATATATGAAGTGGACCTATTTTGGGAAAAGAAAGAAAACTGCTTAAAATAAAATTTCATACCAAGACCATGCACCTAGCCAATAAACACCTTGGCATTCCTGTGTTTTGAATCAAGTTTATTTCCTGATCATCTTCATCAATCTGAGTTACACAGGGACATTCTCACCTTCAGCTGAGGTAAAAATAACAGTTTGTTAACTGCTAACTTACCTGAACAATGAATGCTCTACTAAAGCTCTTTGTCCTCACAGGGCACACAGGGAAAATAAAAAGAGAGAAAAAAAGATGCTTTTATGTAGAGGTTTTTGAAAGTTAACAGTAAACTGTAGGTGATGGAATGAAACTTGTCCTTGTAAGAGTTTGGAACCAGCATAGGTGTGGCTGGCTCCCAGCAGGACCTCTCTTATTCCCTGTGTGGGACAGCACAGCACACACTGAGGTCAAGCTGTCAGCTCCACATTCTAAGCTGAGCAAGCACTGGTCTCCACCAAACCCAAAATGAACATGCTGTGCATACATTATGTGCATACATAACACAGAGGAACTGATGTGGCACATACCATTAATTTCTTCTACATGTCAGTGCTGTTCTTCCTTTGCTGCTCCAGTTCAGGTAGTGATAACCTGAGCACTGCTTGCAGCTGGGGTCCTGGGTCCTCAGCTTGGCATGCTGGTACAATTGTCATACCCCATACAGACAGAAGTAATCAGAGAAAACAGGAAGGCCTCTGTGTGTCATGAAATACAGGGAAATACTCAGACTTGCAGAAGGGATGCAACAAGTCTTAGGCCTTGTTTTGGTAAAAAACAAACCACAACTATAATTTCAGGGACTTTAAAAAAGCACAGAGACATGAAACTGCTGCAATAACCCTCACTGCCTCAGCTTCTCACATCATGCTGCCCCTGCCATTTCACCTCTCCAGCTGCTACAGGAGCATCTAGAGGCAGTAAGAAACCAATTATTTAAAATAGGTACAACCACCACAGAGTGCACTACTGGTTAGGCACCTGGAGGGGCTTAAACTCAGTAATGTGTGTAGGAATAATGTAGAAAACATCCAACAGTTTCCATGATACAAGCTCAGATCACACAGAGGTATTTAGCAATTATTCATACATATCTTCCTCATTATGGCAAAATAACCAAATGTAGAATTCAAACAGTAATGTGTTAATTCTGTTGGCTGCATATCAGACTGATGGTAACACACAATTCTCTTCCTCTTAATAGCACCACAGAAGTGCCATTAGAACATGGAAACAGTTAATTACTCCTTACCACTATACAAGTCAGAAAAAATGTCAGAGAATAATGTTAAAAAACAATTTCATTTTCCCCCCTAAACACTCTAAAACCTAAAGACACAGAAAAGAACACAGTCTCAGGGCAAGCTATGACAGACAGGGTATGTTAGTTGCCTTTTCAGTTGGAGGAAAATGTGTACCAGTGTCTATTTGGAAAACAGCCCCCCAAAAATGTTGCAGGTGAACACAGAGGTTCCAGGGAAACTATGGAAGCCAGACACTTTTTATGGCTCCTAAAATTCATCTACAAAAGTCTTTTTCTAAGTCAATAACTGTTGTAGTTTCTACTGGCCATTACTCTTGTATTAAGTCACTTCTTTAAGAACAATACATACTCATAGTCTCTTTTTTGTTGTTTTATAATATCTCAGTGAAGTGACACAATAACAGTATAAACAGTAACATAACAGTATGAATTAGTATTTGAACTTGATTTTAGAAAAAAAACCAAAACCAACTATCTGCTGCAGAGAAAACATGTTAAGTAACCCCAGAGTATTAAAAACTGTTCAGAAGCACAAACAATTTCTGTAAATTATTTATTGTATGGATTAAGAAAAATGTATTCCCTTTTCTACATCAACTCTCAGGGTCCAAAGAGTTACAGGGTGCACCTTGGATACAGTTCAGTTGTGATGTCAGAAATAACAGTTCCATTTTTCACAAGTCAAGTTTCTTTTACAAAATAGGGAATCAAACAACAAACAGTTCCTTTAGAAAGACACTACCCAAAGCTGCCATTACAAGGTAGGCTACCTTCAGCTATGCAAGTCTGTCATTGGTGTAATCTATTCCTCCCACTTTACAGTGCAGCTTAAATCACTCTCACCTGGACATTATTCACTTTAAATCTACTTTTTCTTTTCTAACATTTTTGCTGCTGTTGGATGTTTATTTCTAAAAGACCAGCTCTGAACTCACTGCAGTGTGTACACACTCTAGACCCTTGGTTATTCATTTATTTAGCATTAAACACGTTGGTATAAATCTGATGAAGCAGAGGCAGCAGTGCACAATCATGTCTGTCAGGAACTCAGGTTGTATCTTAGAGGCTCCACAGCATGGCAACAGCCTTGCAGATACCAACATCATGGTAGTTAAAGTAGCAGAGGCCAGCGAAGGTGAGGGCAGACAGAGCATACAGACCTGTGTGTGCCAGCTTAACTGCTGTATCCCCGTGCACATAGTCAGTTACAACCTGGCCGAGACCCCTGCAGAGTAAGAGGGAGACAAAAGCTGCAATCAGGACAGAGCATTCCTCACTGAAATCCACCCACTTTATGTCAATGTTCTACTAAAATGTATCATCTTTTTCACTTGCAATCATCAGCTCTTCCTAGAGAATGCCCAGATCCCACTGAAAACAAAGATGCCTCCAAGAAACAGTGGGCAGCTTGTCTGACTTCCAGTGACTGAGGGAAAGAACCCAAACAAAATACCCTTGCTTGAACAGTAAAGTCTGGCTCTGGGACCAGCCTTTGTGACATATGCACAGAAGACTCCAAGATACAGATTTAGTTTAAAAAATAGTGGCAATCTAAAATCAGCATATTTTCCTGCCTCTGTCAGATGTAGGTGATGTCAGACTGAAGTGAACTCTTCTGCAGATTTAAACTATCCAGCAACAGGAGACAGAGGATGCTGTTAAACTAATGTGATAGTCTTCCACAAAGTACAACTGTATTTGCTTTCTGCAGTGACAGATGCCAACTTAGTAAAAAAGAGAATCATACTGAATGCAGCAATTTTCCTCCTAGGATTTTGCCTTGGTCTAGCCTGAAGCTGAAGGACCAGTGTCCCACAAGTTAAGACACACCAGTGACCTAGCAAGATGCAGTAGCATCTTCTGCAGTACTTTGCAAGTGAACACTGAGCTTAGTTTCACTTAGACAGGGTTCTAATACCACAAAGATGTCAAAAGTGAGAAAACAAGTGCAAAGATACACAGAAGAGAAGCACACAGTAAAAGCAGCCTGTAAGATAACTATTCTTAAATTATAAAATACAGTGCAGCTGTATTTTACAGCTGGGCAGAGGAATCAGGTCAGGAGTGAAGCAGCTCTTGCCCACACCTTGAGCCTTCCAAAGCACAGATAAATAAGCCATACCCAGCTGGGGAGTCAGAAGCTGCCCTCCAGCTGCAGTGTTGATAAGGTGTCGTGGTTTAACCTCATCTGGCAACTAAACACCAGCAGCCACTGCCCACTGCTTCCTCCACCCCCCACCACGTGTGAGCAGAGAAGAATTGTGAGGAAAAGAAAACAAAGCCCTGTGGGTTGATACAAGGACAGTTTAACAGGACATCACAAAGAGAGGTGAAATACCTATGAAAGTAGAAGAGAATTTTTGTACATAGAAACACCTTTATTTTTTTAAGACAATGTTTTGCAAGATATGAAACTTCCTAGCTTAAAAAAGAGAACTAAAAACCCACACAAGCTGGGGGAAGAATTCACTCTGATGAAAGTTACCAGCAGAGCTGTGCACATGCAGCAAGATGTTCTCCTTGCAGGGGAAATCCCCACACTGTTTAAGGAAAAGGGACTTGGAGTATGCACAACCCCCACACTTTTGGCAACAAGAGGCACCCAGTAAGGCACCAAACGTGTGTGCAATGGCTCCAGATGTCAGCCAGAGAACCCACCTCAACACACCCACCTGCAACAACCTGTTCCATCCCCTGCAACTTCCCCACGTGGTCACCTCCAATACACACACCAAACCAGGGCAGAAATGCTCCAAAAGCAGGCAAGCTGTGCTTTGTGGGTTTTATACTGGAAAGAGCTCTGCCAAATATGTTCAAGAACAGCCACATTTCAGATTAATTCTGTGCTAGATTTGAGGACTTTGGGAAGCAGCTCCCAGTGACAGGGATGGAAGTGCAAGAATCCCTGCTATGACTTTGTAGAGGCAAAACTGAGATCTAAGATAACCTGGCATCCCAAAGTACCATGAAGTTGCTTCTCTGCTTTATCCCTGTAACAAGGAACCACAGACCAGTACCAGCTCAAGAATGTCAGTGCTGCCAGCTGTGCCAACCATGCAGCTGGATCCACTCCTAACTAGACCCATCTGGCCTATTAAAAAATAGATGATAGATGATATAAAAGATCACAGCAGAACCACGCTTGGGAAGAACAGGAGCAAGCATCCATTCCCCAGGAATCCAGAAAACAATGATTGAGGTCTCAGCTTCTTCAGTGGAATACTTGCTATGAACTCTTTGTTATGCAGAATCTTCTCAGCACTGAGATGTACACAGCCAGCCCACAGCACAGAACCTTGGCAGAACAATTTGTTCTGAATAGATCTGTCCTGCTCCTAATGTTCATACAACATTGATTCTTCTATAACGTAAAACCATCCAAGATTCTGTGCAGCCAGTGGCAGGTAAGTTCTCCTAAGGTAAGACAGAGTGTAGAACATAAGAGAATGTTCATGGCTTCCTGAATAGTGATATGCATCCTGCCTTCTGACTAAGAGAACAGGGTGACAAAGGAGGACCAAGGGTGTCAACGATCACAACTGTCACCAGACCTGGAGAGCAAGGACTGTGTGCATCTCTTTCCAGGTATTTTATACTAAACCAGGAAACAAGTCAGTAAACTTGCTGCCATAGATGGATTTAAAACCCAAGTCTTGGAGTCATCCTGACTATCAGACTTTCCTATTAACTCTGCAGGACCTTCTGTGCTTACCAGTGGCCATGGAGAGTGAGGGCTGCAGCCAGTGAATAGTCCATGGCTGGTCCAGGATACAGGTAGGCTGCAGGAAGGAGACCCAGCAAGAGGACACTGACAGCTCGCTCACTTGTCCAGTGCAAAGATGCAGCCTTGGAACTGCCTGTAAGGAGAAGTATTTTTCAGTGCATAGTTCTTGTGACATGAGAAGTGCTGTAACCTGAATAACAGATACCTCATCCTGATCAGCACCACCAGGAACATGTGTTCTCTGACCTCATCACTCAGCTTTTGTCCAAGCAGAACCCAGATGCTTTTGAATTACCCCAATAGAATATGTATCTACTTTACAATATCTGAAAGGTTAATTTTAAATAATCCTCTCTTTGCTGCTGCTGAGAAAGAGAAGCTTCTTTTACTATAAAAGAGCAGAGGCTCAACAGGTAAAGTCAAAACAAACACCAGTCCTACTTTCAACAACCCATGGTTCAGGACTGAGGTCCAAGTCAACCATCACACACAAGTGTCTCCAAAGGCAAAACCTTTCTGTCTAGTGAACTTCCTGACTGTTATGTACTGTTTACTACTCCCACCTTTTAGGAAATGGCTTTGATATCCAGATGGACACACCTACAGGTTCCAGTGAATTGCACCTCCTGGTAACTCTGTGCACAGTTCTGCCCAGGAGCCAATATTGCTGTTTCTAACTGTATATAGTAGATTAAACTTCTGGAAGCATAGCAGTGATAGGTGGCCTACAAGCAGCTTGAAGGCTCAAGGATTTCAGTCTTCCATTGATACTCAGCTGCACAGAACCTGAACCACATAACAGATGACTTCAGGAAGAGAAATACCAACTAGGGAGCTCTGTAACCACCTCTAACCTTTTAGAAGCACACAAATCCCTAATAAAGGAAGAAAAAAAAACCACCCAAAACCATCTAGAAGGTTCTGGAGCAAACAAAAACCCTAACATCATATGCAATACTTTGAACCAAAATGTCAACCTCAAAACATGAAGCATCAGCCCAGGCTAAAACCATCAGGAACTGACTCTATGAAATCACCCCCAAAGTGCTTACCCACCACACAGGTGTTATGCATCCCTTTAAACAAAAATGCAATTATTTTTCTTCATTTTTGCAAAGAAATCTGGCAAAGGGACAAGATAAGGAACATAAAGGACCTACAGTAAAACATGAAGGAGTCCTACACTGTGAACTACTGAGTTGTCCCCACAGAACTCCCTGGCCCAGAACATCTCACAGCACGTGCATGAAGCCTGCTGTCAATATGAGGTTCAGAACAGAAAGAATGGAAACAGCTCAGCTGTGTTTAAGCTAATTTCTTTGACATGCCTTTCCTCATCCTTTCCACTTCTAAGCTGCTTTCTAACAGCTACAAAATATGCTTAACCTCTGGTCACAACATTACTCATATATAATTGCACAACTGACAGATGAGAACTGGGCACAGTTCTCTTTCACCACCTCTGTGTAGTCTTACCACACACAGAGAGGAAAAAACAGGCTAAGAAACAGGGTAAGAAACACTCTCTTCCTGCAGAGCAGACTTCTCAGGTTAACCTCAGTGCATCAGAAGAGCTGTTCATGCAAGAAGTCACAACTGCAGAGTTTTCACATTTCTGCTGCTACTAAACCACAAGAAATGTTAAACTTCCTCAGTCATTTCCTTTAAAACTTCTAGGGGGTTTTGAGCATGGGAAAAAAACGTTATCACTTTTGTTGGCAAGCAGAGCTTCACTCTTCTAACATTCAGTGAGCCCTGTTCAGGACTCGCAGCATTCACAGGCCGGGTCCTGACACCGCAGTGTCAGTGTCAGATCCCAGCGGTAAGTCACACACCCCTCGATATAACCCAGCCCCGGGACCGCCCGGGAGCAGCACTGCCCGAAGGGACGGGAACACGCTGCGCGGGCACCAGCGGCTCTGACCACACCCAAGAAAAACTACCGTGCCACGTGTCAGGCGTGTTCTGCCCTTGGTCGCCCACACCTGGCTCAAACCATCGCCATCCCCGACCGGCCGTGGGTGTAACGGGCATAGTGGAGATCACGCCGCCTGGCCGGGCCGGAGAAGCCCTTTCGAGGGCGGGGGAACAGCGACCCCGCCCCGGCTGACGAA